CTGGTAGTCTGTAAGTTTTATCAATAGTTTATAGTGAATCTTTGATTGGCAAAGTGTTCAGAGTTTTTCCCGCGTTAGATTTTTCCGTGAACAATTCTGGTATTATTTATAGGTTTCTTTACTGTTTTGATATTACTGCGGTATTCAAAGATATTGTTTGACTAATCACCAGACATAATTAACTTGTGACTTGTTGCTTGTTAATTAAAGTGTTAATTCCACATTTACGCCTAATCACCCCCTCTAGGTGTAGTAGGGTCGAATCTTGCGTTTCTCACAGTCCAACTAATTATTTCTGGTTCTCTTCGGTCTAACATTTAGCACAGTTCTATCTGAGATCTTGTGATGGATTACACATTTTCACTTCGCCGTCCAATGGTGGCGACTGGAACTGCAAAAAGTTAAATCATGTAGTCGGAAAAGTGGCTTATCTCAGAGCTTTTCAGCAGCAATTGTGCACGTCCTCAACCACGCATGCGCCTCTTTCAATTTTCCATCTCCTGTTTTTTTTCCCACTGTTGCACAGCCTATTTATTTTTTTCGTACCCAGATATTATTAATCCTACAGAGATGAAATCAAGATTTGTTGCCGCCATGAATCACTCCCCACTAGAAAATATTAGACTGATGTACGCATATGTTGAGGGGTTTGTTAAAGGTGCTTCCATGAAGCAGTAGCTTATTTTGTTTAAAATAAATAAATAAAAGCTGGGATCTGATGCTTTATACCAACTCGGCCATCTCAACTTCATATTAACTTATTAAGTCGTGTCACTATTGAATCCAAACTAAAATAATAGGGATTCAGCTTCTACTATTTCTACAATTACTTCCGGTCCGAAGTTCAGCTTGCTCAGCCGCGTCTTCCCTTTAAATCAGAAGGAAAAAAGATTATCTTCACCATAAACCATAGAGCACTTCATTGATTCATTGCAAATCATTGGATGTTTTTCAATTTTGTGCTAGCCATCTTCAACAGTTGAACTTCTAAAATATAGCAAGTCACGTTGTTTGGATTCTTTCAGTGAAGTTTTTATGCTACCGATTGTATATATCACACACACCACACCAAAAAGAAGCAAGATGAATAAAAGGAAGAGTCTTCTCTCAGTATTCCATCATCCATTCTTGAAAAGCTTCCAAGTAAATTTGTTTTTCAATCTGCAGTTTTACAAGGTTCATAATTATTTAGAATCAGGAGCTTCATCTACAACCAGGTACAATAACTGTTACATCACATTGACCGAGGAGGGGGAGCACTGATATTAGTTGATGCTATAGTCCCATCTATTTAATTGGATAAAGAATTAAATTCAATTATAGATTTCTCTTGCCGTGGTCTTACATCAGAGAACAAAACTGCCAACCAACACACAGGCGAGTGGAACTGTCAAGTTGTCGTCAAGCTCAGTACTTAAAGGATGGGATTCAACCAGTGCGGCGGCAAGGGACACCATAAAAAATCCCAGAACCATCGCGGGAGTTTCTTGAACATACCCAAACAAGGAGAAATAGTGCATGTATCTGTATCAACATTTCCTATCAGCAAAATTTTGAATAGAGTTTTGGTAGAAACAAGAGGCAAAACATATTACCCAATAGAAGCCAAGAAACCAGCAGTTGCCATAGCAATACTACCAACAATTGATTTGTTTCTGTTATAGGGAAGTTTATGCTTTCCAAACCGCCTTCCCACGATATCAGCTATTCCTGAGAATTTCCAAAGAAACTTTGAGACATATTCAAGAATAAGCAATCTCAGCCCTGTGTTTATTGAAGAAAATAAAATGCAATAATTAAACAGAAAAACCTCACAAATAATCAAATATTATGGATCATATAATATGTATGTGGATTTGTCCGAAAAAATACATTACCATCTCCGGCACAGAGGTTACAGATTGCTGCAATTGCTATAGGAGAAGTTCTCCAGTAGATTGCACCGGCCAAAGTGATTGTAGAGGCATAATACAATGGTCCCTTAAGAAGTTCCCTGATGCAACACATAAGCAGTTCACAATATAGAAGTTTTGAAAAGAATTTCTAATCTATGGAAGGAAAGGAAAGAAAATAGAAGCCGTGTGACGTGTACAAGGTCACCAATACAATTTTGACTGCATCTTACAATATTACAAGCACCAAGTTCAAATACAATTGAATCAGCAAACAAGTCGAGCAGAACCAAGGGGAGAATTTATGCAAGCCAGATTTTCTTCACTAGTACCCTCTCAAGTTAGAAGTACATGTCATAATTTGAAGGCTAAATTTTCTTCCCCGGTACCCCCTCAAGTTTGAAGTACGTCATAATTTGAATTGGAAATATTGAGTGAGTTTAATGGGAGAATAATTTTAAAGATGAGTGGGATCCAGGTAACTTCTTTTAAACTTCTAATTTTCCTTTATTTTTATTTTAGGAGGATACTAGCGTGTCTTCATAGCTTGTTACACATAGATGATCAAGCCATCGAGCTTGTATAGAGAACTAATATCTTGGTTTTAAAATTAGACGGATTCTGTTTTTTATCAAATGTCAGAATCTAGCAAGTTATGAAGAGTTCTAATTTTTTATTTTATCACTTCCTTGGAATCCCCTCCTATAACTTCTTACCGCTAGTATCAAATAGGTGCAACTTACAGGCAATTCAAAGTATTTTGACTACTCAAATCCAAATGGTGAATTAAAAACAGCCGATCAAAAGATCATTTATCAGTGGTAAAACATATTTAACAATGAGAAGTGAAGATGATGCGACGGTCACAGACCTTATAAAACATATTTATAAGTGGCATCTACTGCTACATAACATGAATGGATGCTAAATCGATTTCTTTAGAACCGGCAAAAACCTGTGGTCTCCAAATCTGCTCATGGACTTGACAGTTGCATCATCTTTCCATATTCCGAGTCCCAAAAGAAGCATTTTGATTATGTTGATAGCCGGAACAAGAGCTGCTATAACAGCTCCCTGACGACCGGAGCTAAGACAATCACTAATAGCTCAATCAACCGTTCAAATATGATAAAAAATGAAAGGTTAAAATCGACTAAAATTACCTGAACATAGGCCAGCATAGCATGAAAGCTAATCCGACCGAAACATGTACAAGCTTCCTATTCAGTTTCTAAACAAAAACAATGTATGTATAGTATAAGACAGAATAGCAGGGATGTGAGAAAAACAAAAGTTATATTTTAACTGTTTCTTTTTGAGATTTTCGAAATTTCAGTTTTTAAAAAATCTTTAATTACTTTTCAAAAAAGAATTTTTTTTTTTAGTAAAAATGCTCTTTAACGTACATAAAATATTTTAAGTTTAGTCAAACAGTTTTTCTATTGCTTCCTTTTAATGATTTTTCAATTATTTCCTTATATTTTCTTTTTTTTTTGCCCTTATCCTGGCAAGAAAATCCAAGTATCTAAATCGGAGAAAATGATAGAAAAATAACCTGGTCAAAGAGCCCTCTTTTAGCTGTTTCTTCCCACAATCTAAGCAAAGATAGAGCAATCCCACCAGACAAGGCGGTGGAAATGACGTCACTAACTAGCGGATTTTCTGAAAACATGGCAGCCGATGACGTCAATTTCCGGCGGAGTCTTCTTCTGGGCTTTCCCTCAAGCTGCTGACCAAATTTATAACGGTGGAGAAAATCAGAGGATGAGGGAAGAGGGCTGGAATTAGAGAAGAACAAACGTGAATGACTGCAAAAATAAAAATTGGACTTTGATTTGACTGTTATGCAGGGGAAAAAAAGTGTTGAAGCCATGGGGCAAAACAGTTTCTACTGGTCCAAACCCCTGTCTATTAGGAGCTTACCCGTGCGTGTACTTGGGAAGAGACAGTGCCCAATCGATGGGGTTCGTGGTATTTGGAGGTGGTTGGGTTTTCTTAGACTTCAATTCTGTTGAAATTCTTAATTTACTGTAAAAAAATAAGCTCTCTATTCACCTGCAGAGGTTGAATTTCTTAATTTACCGTCTAAAAAATAAGCTAATTATTGACTAGAAGCGGCTCTTGATGGAGATGGATCGACAAGGACGTGGTACCCGTTGAGTGATTCCCCTCCTAAGTTGAAAACCATTTAGAAATTGGACTTTCTTAATGAGGCAAGTATCTGTTCTTGAGCGAACGCAATCACGCATGGAGTTAATTGTCCTAATAGTCAGTGAAGTTATGTATATGCCTTCAATTGTTTTTTGAAATATAAGGTATCAAATTTTGGTCACTAAACTTATTCAAACATTGAGCGTTACACATAAAGCATTTAAAGAAATTAATTACATGACTAACGGAATGCACATGTGGCTATCCGTCACGTTGTCTACATATTGTCACGTCTTCGATTACTCACTAAACTTTGAAAAAAAAATTGATTGCTCGATAAGCTTTTAAAAAGGTTTTCAATTGCTCACTGAATTTTAAAGTGATCGAATTTTGAGCATAACGTTATAAAAATAATGTGTACGTGTTGTTTGTTAAAAAAGTATACCGCAAGTGCATGGATTGTGTAAAAACAATAAAATGGACAAACAAGTTCGGTTTGTCGATCCTACTACACAATAGTTAAATTTAATTTTAACCTATTTTTTTAGAATTTTAAGCTATTTTCATCATTTAAAAAATTAAATTTATTGTGTGTTTCATTGTTAAAATTAATTTAAAATAGAATTTGAATTTTGTAACGAAGCACACAATAAATTTAATTAAATGAATTTTACAATGAAAACGACAATTAATTAGAATGGATTTTTATAATGAAACGCATAATAAACACAGACAAATTCGTTAGTCATGTCACTAATTCTATTAAAGATTTAAAACAGATGTTATGCCATGAGTAACGTTCAACGTTTGGATAAGTTTAGTGTCAAAACTTGATATCTCAAGCTTCAGTAAATAATCAAAGGCACAAACATAAGTTCAGTGATCATTGGGACATTTTACTCGAAAGCATGTTATGCTAGATTTGAGAAGGAAAAAAAAAGAAAAAACTTGCACTAGTGACTTTGGTACTAACTTAACCACAAAATAATTTACTGGTAAGTAATTTCTTTTGTCAAAGTAGGAGTTTGAGAGGAAAATATAAGGGATTTTTAATATAAAAAAAACATAATTTTGAAGTTTTCTAGTTTAACCCGCAATAGACACTCTTCGTTTTAGATATTTTTTTGCGTGAATTAATTAATTATAAACGGCTTCTTTCCATGCCCAATTGTCGTGGGAATTCTCAAAAGCTCTCTATAAAATGGCCACCCAATTCGTCCTATTATTATATTTCAGAACAGGATGAAAAGTATTCTTTTTTAATTAAATAATCTTTTCATAAATTGTATCTTAACTAAAAATGCAGAACCTCGAATTTTGTTGTTGTGTTGCATATAATTCATTTATCAATTAATAGGAATGTCGTGTCTAGTCAAGCCTTTATGCAAGTCAAATTGTTATGCCTAATAGTTAATTTGCATCTATATGATTTTTTTAATAGTTGAGGGATCAAAGTGGAAATAAATATGTTGCTAGTATACGTATTCCTTTCTATCATGATTTTTTGGTTAATACAGTTTTTGTCTATAAACATGGTTAGTAATATTAATTATCACAAATCCAATTAAGGTGATAGTTATTCAATTAGACTAGGATGTTGATATTAGTTATCACAAATTCAATTAAGGTTATTCAATTTGATCTGGATGTTTTGAAACTTGATGATATAAATATATTATTTTTATCTTAAACTAATTAGGCTTATCACCACACAGTTATTCAATTGAATTAGGATTTAAGTTTGTGATTTAGTTATAATTTAAGTATTAATCAATTTAGGAAAAACATTCATGTTTTGACACGTCATGCAAATATTGCATGTATTTGATATTTAATAAAATTGAACTAATTAATTAGTCATGATCTAGGATAATAACTAATTGATTATGATACAATCCTAAACCTAATCAAACTACCCTAAGTTTACCTATAAATACCAACGCCATGTATATATATTTTCCACAAAACCCATTCTTTGATTTTTGTTTCATTCTTTAAAAGTTCAGTAGAAACTCCTATTAAAACTTTTAGAAGGTTTTCAAAAGAGTTTCAATTTTATCCTTCGTTTTGCCAATTCAAGAATTGTTATTTACTACTTTGAGGTGAGGTGCATAGTGTTATTAGTGGTTTTTTCACATTTTTTCAAATACGTTTTTATGTATGAATTTAATTACTTAAGTTCAGTGCTCCTTCGAGAGAAATCATGATGCATTTTAAGGCATACCTTCGGATATCAGTTAGTCTTCACGTTATTTTGCAATACTTACTAGAATTATCATTTTTCATGATGTGATAATTCTCATTTTATGTTGATAAGAGAATTTATGAATAATTTGATGTTTGGACTGAATGTGGAGTAGCAAGCATCTCATTAAATATAATTCGTTATACTCAACCCTCTTTATTTACAAACTAGTGTGTCACCCGTGCAATGCACGGATA